GTACTCCTTCCTTGAAGTTTCAGGCTTGACTGGAAATGGTGGAGCTTTCATTCTTCCATTGGATTTCCCAGACCAGCTCTGAAACATTTATTAAGGCTTCACATCTCTTTTTTTTTTTTTAATTTATGTAGCACAGCTTAGAAGTTCATAAAGTTCATGACTTTTAATTTCCTTTGAACTTCATATTTATATTAAATAATAAACCAATGCAAATAGCGACTAACCAGAGTGATGTTCCTGATCTGTATCACAAGGGCAGAGTGACTTGAAAACATGAATACCAGGTTGTGGTTTTGAGGACTTATGATTCCAATCCAAAGGATTTGAAATATTCAGACTTGGAGACCAAGAAAGTGAGGAGGACCATGGCCATTTTTCTGCATAAGGAAAGCAAAAAGACTGGAAAGAATAGGAAAAATCATTTTATATAAAGCAACTAGCAAAACAAGCAAAAACTTCCATGAATTTTCTAGAATACCATAATCAAAAGAATTTCAGTATGGTGGATATTGTAGAAAATCAGCTACATTGAAAGCTGACACCAGCTACTATTTTAAAAAAATAATAAAAAAATCCATAAGGGTTCAGCCTGTACTCATATGACTTCTATCGCCTCTCTACATCTTTTGTCAATTGCAGAACAGAAATCTTGAATAAACTCTAAAAAAGGAGTTTTTTTTCTGAAAAGAATTTGAATTTCATAGCTAGGCAAAGAAAAAAAAAGTCTTCACATCTCACCTCTAGTACTGTAGATTACTGATCTTTTATCTGTTTGAATGCACAGAAACTTGTGAAGATGATCACAGGTAAAAGAGATGACACTAAACATGAAAGCCTGAAACAGAATGATTAGATGCGGATGGACACGACTCATGGTTTCACCCTCATGGTCTATCAAGGATATTCACCACTAATAGATATTCTTTTCCCCTGACTTCAGATTATATAAATATAACCTATTCTCCAAGTAATTCACCTTTAAAAAAGTATTGACTTCATCTGTCTCCAACAATGAATGTTGTTAGATATTCTGTATGTCGTTCTGTTGTTTGAATAAAATAGAACCGAAAAGCAGTAATTCAAGTACCGATCACACTTTAGTTTTCCATATAGATCACTTGTCTTTTTATTGCTAACAATTGCTAACAATAACAGAAAAGTTGCTGGTAATCATGTCTTAAAACAAGAATAACCTTAAAAGTAAATCTATTTGGCCTATGTGATATGAGCATCTGATGCTTAACTTTTAAAACAAAATTCAAACTTCGGAGGAAGAGAGAGGTTAAAAGGAAGAGTATTATAATTTAAAATGTGGAACTAGAAATGAATAGCAATCTATACCCAAGAGTCATCATAAATTTTCCTAAAGGACCTCAATAAATAAAGAATCACACTAGTCATTACAAGAAATACCCAATATTATCATTAAATTTGAGTTCCTTTTTGTATTTCAACTTCAAAGTTTTCAACATTTATTCACTGTCACTGAGTCTGGTTTGGCCATATAAGCAACTGAGTTCAACAACAAAAACCTTTCATTGATTAGGGGATTTTGGTCTGTCTGAAAAAAAAAAGTCCCAATGATACTGAATCAGAGAAATAACTTATCTCTGAATACTGATGTTTCTGACAAAGTGATACAAAATCAAAACCCAGTGAGATGTAAGAGGACAGTGTCATCAGATCAATTTATCAAAAGCAAGGAAAAAAGTTATTTACACTACATTTGCCTAAATCACGAAGAGTTTAGTATAAGGCATCTGAGCATATTGTAGTTTAAAATGAAAGAACACAAACTATTTTTGGTAATTTGCTCTTTGCCTTCTTCATTGATGAACTGTTGAATATGAATCCTGAGGAGGGCTAGAAAGATCAACACTAATCCCTTCTTACTGCAGCTCAGTAACATATTCAGGCAAGGAGTATAACTCATTTTGTTAATGAGAACTGGAAGTGTCAAACAAACAAACAAACAAACAAACAAACAAAACCCACACTGCAAGCATTGAAGGCATATTTATTTCTTTATCATAGCTGAAATGTTGTAGAACACCAACAAAGAAGAATGAATGCTTGGAAACCTGTCAAATTCCTTTTTTTTTTTTTTTTTTTTTTTTATGTAGAAACATGTTTATCAGATTTCTTATTATAGCTTTTGGCTGCAAAAACATCTCCAAATTTTAGTTTTATTTCCCTCACTTAGCAAAGAAAAAAATGTTGTTGTTGTTTTTTTTTAATGTTATAAATGCAATTGTCTCCTTGTGGTTCATGAGACTATTTCTAGGCTGATGCATGAATTGGTAGAAAGATTGTCAAAACATGTATAACTGCTTCAGAAGAAGAGCACACTACGAGTCATGAAAGCCTGACTGAACTGGAGGCAGCACCACAATATGACAGAGCAGGAGCTTTATCCTAAAGGAATATCTTATCATAAGAAATAACTAATTGATTTGAAAGACACAGGACAAATGCAAAACAAACAAACAAAAATGCAAGCAAACAAACCAGAAACTATGCAGGTTGCAGCAAATTTTTAATTAAATATTTGAGATCAAAGAAACTGGGAAAGCCAAACCTTCATATGCTTACTTTCAGTGTCTTACAGGGCAGCAATAGTAAGCAGGGGATTATCATAACAGCAAAGTAATTCTTCTTAAAGCCATCAAAAGAGGACCTTTCTAGACTGGCAGAATTAAGTAATTATGGTAAGGTGCAGAGACAGTATGTCAATCCTAACTCTACACAAAACTATGCCTCAATGAGATAAGAAACCTCTAGGGAATATCATTCCCGTGACTCCCTTTTATGTAAATGTTTTAACAAGACAAAAGCCCAGAAGAACACTTCCATCACTTCTACATAAATACAAGATCCTCCTCCATTTCAGGCAGGGTTATATGGCTACAGGCTACAAAACCCAAATCTTTTTTTGCATGTGCTGTTCTTTGTAACAATTCAAATACTTAATGAAGTAAGAGAAATGTGACAAAATAGTAAGCAGAGAACAAGAATTTATGAGGCCTTTTTTGTATTTAGAAATCAATTTTCTGCAATAAAGCAGATAGAATGCTGACACTGGAAAACCTATGCAGGACTCAATTCTTATCTCACCATTAAAGGATCAGTGACGTAAACCAAACACTGCTTAACCTTCTTCTTCAGGATCCATATTTCTTCCAGGAGTATGCAGAAGGGCAATATGTCTGCTAACTGCTGTCTGCTCCTTCCATATAAAAGCCAGAAGCAATATTCCTCAGTATCCTTTAAGAACAAGCAGTGAATTTATCATATCTGTTTGTAATGCCCTTTGGGACTCTTCAGGAAGAAAGGCACAGTAAATGTAAGCTCATTATCATCATTAACTCCTTTTATACACCAGCTGAGCTCCAAAGAATCAAATGGGAGGAAAAAATAAGGAAAAAAAAAAAAAAAAGAGTAACATTTACCATTCTCACCATTCTCTTATTTTCCTGCTTTTTTTTTTTTTTCCTTATTCATAGATATTTCTGTTAGATGAAAAATATTATTTATTAGGAAGCCTGAAAATTAGCTTGACTATTTAACTGCATGAGACAACACTTACATTGCTAAGGAAGAACAAGAATAAAATTGCTTAACTTACATTAAGGTACATTCAGCATGGCAGTGCCAAATTTATTACACTTGTTCTTGTACACTTAGAAACACCCTAAACTTCCCACAATTATACCAGTTCCATGTGTGAGAGAACAGCTTCAGGAATAGGAAGACCTTTGTGTCCCGAGTGTTTTGTGCAACTGTCATACCCCCATGGAATGGCATGACACCTGGGTTTGAGTGGACAGGACTCACTAATTTTAGACACGGAAAGGTCCATTTTTCCAACCAAAATAATTTTCCATTCTAGGTTTGACAGTGCACGAGTGGCAACTCTAGCCATCAATTTATACCACATGTGCTTGACATTACTGAGGGATAAAGGATCTCAGGATGACACTTTTCTCTCTCTGCTGATGGCAAGGTCAGCCTCGGGAGTACTCTACCCAAAGCCTACCTTTCTGCCAGTTAGGTGACTTTGTGCAGGTGTGTCTGTACAAACAAGAACAAACAATTCATACAAAAGGATCCTTTTGACACTACAGTTCAACTCTACCCCACTGAGAAAAAGTGGCAGCAGTCTTGTCTCTTTTATTGTATCTGACAGGTTGGCTTCAGTGTGTACATGAAGTGTATTTTCTACTACTGCAGATTCATGTGGTTTTCTTCGTTGATCATCAACACAAAAAATCAGAGCACTAACCTGCAAGCACATCCCACATGTTTGGGATCTAAAGACTTTAAAGAGCGGCCCACAAGAGAAGAGTTTAGAGGACAATTATACCCACAGTCCTGATTTCAGGTCCTGAAACTCAGAGCTCTGGCAGCTTTGACTAACTTTGTGATTTCTAAATGGCTTAAGCTGGGGAAAAAAATTGTGATAATAATAATAAAAATGAATGTTTCTCCAACTGCTTTATGGGGAAAGTTTTAAACTTTTAAACCTGTTGGGAATAAGCTACACAAAGCCTCCTTAAATAGAAACTAGAGTGACAGAGGATCCTTAAGGCTACTTACAACAAAATGTTTTGTGCATTCAAATTTGTTAAACTATGAAGTCACAGGAATTAAACAAAAATCAGAGCAGCAAGAAGAAAGTGCTGCAAAGTTTACCAGACAATACAAAGCTAAGAAACGAAACCATTTAAAAACTCGTGGAACAGGAAAGAGACGCAGAGCATCCTCTCCAGGCACTGAAAATACCCGGGGCCGCTTTTGATGTCGTTCAGCCGCGGGGGTGATGTTTCCAGCACCGTCTCCATCAGTGGCAGCCCCTGAGCTCGGTTCCCCGGAGGGAACACCGCCCTCATTCCCCCAACAAGATGTTCTCAGGGTGTCAGGAGCCTTCTGCCTTCCCAAAGGTTCCCCTCCTCGCCCCACTTGGGTCCCATTGTCCCCCCGCGGCCGGACCGGAGCCGCAGCACCGCCGGGCGGCGCTTGAGCACTGCAGGATCGCCGCGCCCGCATCCCCGGCAGCCGAGCCGGGCTGAACCGAGCTGAACCGAGCCGGGCAGAGCCGAACTGAGCCGGGCAGAGCTTGGCCAGACGGGAGCTGCTGCCGGGTGGGAGCATCCCAAAGGGTCCCTCCCCGGGCTGTGCCCCCCAGGAGCCCGGCACCACCGACAGCAACTTCGCCGCCGTGCGAGTGTTTGCGTGATTTATCCCGGCCGGAGTTTTGCAAAGCCGCTGAACAGCCCGAGCCCCGTGCAGCAACCTGTTCCCCCCCCTCCCCGCCCCGAGGCTGCCGGAGGAGGAGGAATTAGCGCTGGCGATTACCCGGGGAGAGGGGAGGTGTCTCGCAACAGGGACCTCTCCTCGCCAATGGAGCCGGCGGCTGCCCGCAGCGGCGGCAGGCTGTGAAGAGGCGGCACGGGGCGAGGAGGCAGCGGTCCCGGGAAAGGGCGGAGCGCCGGGGGGGGTCCTCCCGGCTCCGCAGCCGCTACATTATTAACTCGGCGCGGCGGAGACGGCGCCACAACTTTCCGGCTCTGCCCCGGGAGGCGGCGAGCAGAGAGCATCCCGCAGCCGGGCGGCCATGCGGGCTGCCCCCAGCCCCGCTCAGCGGGGGGGGCGCCTCCTCTGAAAGGCGAACGGGCCGGCCACCCCCCCTCCCCTCCTTTCCCGGCCATGCGGCCCCTCGGCGCTCCCCTCGCCCTGCTGCTGTGCCAGGTGCTGGGCTCATGGGCCGCCTGCGCCCTGCTCCCCGCTACGGGCTCCGGGCTGCAAGAAAACCCTCCTCGCCCCTCGTCTCCGCCGGCCACGGCGCCCCCCGGCCCTGGAAGCCGGGCTGCCGCTGCTCTCCGCGGGCGCGGAGCCCCCCCGGCGGGGCCCGGGGGCACCTGCGGGGCTGCGGGGCCCGGGCGGAGGCGGGCGCGGAGCAGCGGGGCCGGCCTGGGGGCTGCGGGGGGCCCCCGGTGGCTGCCCCTGAACGGCTCGGGCCGAGGAGGAGAGGGGGGCGCGGGGGGTCGAGGTAACGGCACCGGGCGCCGCGCCCGGCTCCGCAACCCCTTCTACCCGCTGACCGAGGAGTCGTACGGAGCCTACGCCGTGATGTGCCTCTCCGTGGTGATCTTCGGCATCGGCATCATGGGCAACATGGCAGTGATGTGCATCGTCTGCCACAACTACTACATGCGGAGCATCTCCAACTCCCTGCTGGCCAACCTGGCCTTCTGGGACTTCCTCATCGTCTTCTTCTGCCTGCCGCTGGTCATCTTCCAGGAGCTCACCAAGAAGTGGCTCCTAGAGGACTTCTCCTGCAAAATCGTCCCGTACATCGAGGTAATGGCAGTGGGTGGTTGTGCGTGGGGCCTGCCTGCCTCTGCGAAGCCCCCCGGGTACCCCTTTCTGTGCCTCCCTCATTGCTCCCTGCCCGGTTTGGGTTTCCCCGGCACTGCTGATGGAGAGCCCCACAGGGACTCTGCCAGCTTCAGGCCGACTCTGGTCCAGCAGCACCGGGCTTCCCACAGCATCAAACCGAGAACACCTAGCTCTTCCACTCATGAGAGTTCTGCTGAAGTTTCACTCCTCCCAGTCATCCCAAAAGGCAAAGAATCCTCTCAAAATTTGATTTTGAGTGTGTTGTTTTTTTCTTTTTTTCCTTTTCTCTAAAGAGAAGCAATTCAGAAAAGCAGGAGGGGAGACTCGGGATAGGTTGTAAGCAGGTGATTGCAAAAATGAGCATCAATATGATATATGTGCTTTTAATTTACAATTCAGCATTCAAATCTCACAGTTATTTATTTGGTTTATCTTTAAAAAAATGACCCCAGTTCAATTTAAATCACAGCTTCTTGGCAATTGTTCAGAGACTGTCAAAGAAGCTGTCAGCCAGCTGGCTGGAGTCCTGCCGGCAGCGTTCAGGTTGTCCGCTTTATTTATTTACTGGAACTGAACGGAGAGGCTTGGTGGTGGAGTGGTAGCCCGTAATGCTGGCTGGCTCTGCTACGTTCCCAAAGCCTTCTGCTCAGCTTTATTCTGTAACTGAAAGCTGAGGAAATAACTGTTGATTCTCTTGTCCTAAGAATTAGATACTGGGGGTGGAGGGGTGGGATATTATCTTGTTGTTAATACACAGAATACCAGTTTTCATAGCACATCAATACAAATGCCAACCAACATTTTCAATAAGGTCTTTAGAAATATGTGTGAGGTGTGTAGTCACTACCTTACCATTACTTCTTTCATGTGTGATACACTTTATTACTGGTGGTATTGGACAAAGGGTGGAGCTGTGCTACACTAACAAGAATTCAGGACCAATAGTATAACACTTTTCATGATTTGAAAAACTCAGAGTATACTTAATTTGTGCTTGGAAGGAAATAAAAGAAGAAATATGTATTTGTTGAGAATACTTACTGATAATAGCCTTGGATAGATGCTTTTAAATTTTCTGAATTCAGGTCTGACGATACTATATTATCCAACAAAATAAGTAGTTAGTGTTTCAGTTAAAGGGTAACCATTTCAATGGACACATCTAGTATGGTTTAAGTATTTCAGGATTTTCCTCTAGTGAGATTTCACACTTCCTAACCTTTTTTGGTGCATCCAGCTACAAAATAGGAGTAATTCTTCATAATAATGATTTGCATGGCCATACCATTTTTTCAAAATTAGTTCCTTATGCTGCTCAGCTTTGGGCAATAAAGAGTTTGCCACTTCATGACTGGAAGAAAAATGTACAGAGCTTCATATTATAATGAAGTTAGTAATAACTTAAATGTGTAAGAAACAGATATAATCTTCTAGAATCACATAAACATGTTTTATTTTCATGTTGCTAGTCTGGAAATATTTTAGCCTTGTCAAAAAGGGGCATGTTGTCAGGACTGCCCAATATACACACACTCTGGATTTTACACTTTCATCAGTGAATTAAACTGAAAGAAGCTGAGCTGATATGTAGTAGCCAAAATTCAAAACTGTAATCCTGAAAACATTCAGCTGGTGCTACCCCCCGTTTATACTTTAAAGACACCTTATTTTTTCACTTTAAAGTTCGTCAGATACCTACAGTTGAACCTTTTTTTCAAGAACTGGCACCAATCCAATCACAATCACAAAATCTAACTATGGAATAGTGCCTGTCTCATCTTGAATTATCATTGGGGTCTAAAAGTAAAGAATTCTCTTATTTCCTGGGGAAATTTAATTGATTTGTGTCTGAGGTACACATCTGAAGGGAGATAGCCTTGGGGGATACCATGTTGCTCCCAGAATTGTATACTTTTCACTCAATAGGTATTAAACATAATACTCATGAATGTACAGTGTATAAATCACCTATTAACTACCCTACTCATGAATGTAAAGTATATTCATCACCTGGGGAGCAGTAAATTAAAGGCTGGATTTTCCCCTTCTTGTAAGGGCGGTAGGCATGAGTGACACATATTGAGCACCAATACTGAATTGTGCCTCCCAGCTTGCCTTGAGCTTGGTGAGAAGGGTTTCTCTCCTGGAAATCAGAATTTGACCCTACTGAGAGAGAGGAGGGAATTAGAGCAAAAGTTTGCCACTTTCTGAGTGTAGTGTTAATCATACGGGCATTATCCAGGGACGCTGACACCACCAGGAACACTGAGGATATGGAGCATGTCATGAAATCTGCCCCATGAACAGCCAATGCTCTGTGCTCTTGCAAGGGTTATTCACAGCAGTGAGTAGAGTGCTCATCTAACAGCTGAATGACACTGCCTCCTCCCTTGTAATTCACCTGAGCAGCTCATGCCCTTCTCATGCAAGAGAGAAGAATGAGGTCTTCTTAGCTCCTTGAGAAGTTGTGGATAGCTACCATCAGGAGAGGTTTCCCGACCTTCATGGAATAGAAATAGAAGCATTTTCCTGAAGAATTTTACCTGTTAAAATTTTTACCTGTTCTCACCGTTTCCTATAAGTTTGCCACATGTTTTGTTCTTCAGGTCTTCAGGGCTGTCTCCCACTCTGCACTGTTTTCTTACATGCCAACTCTCCTCATATGCTGTTTAGGGACCTGCATGTCTCGCTCAGAGCTATAGATCCAGATATATCATCTCACTTTCAAGCACCAAGGAGCATCATTGGACTGAGCTCTCTTGTCATACTAGCCTGTACTCTGGGAATTGCACAGGACTAGGGAATGGGGGACATCTGAGTATCCAGAGGAACTGGTGTAGTAATCACATCATTTTAACATAACTCAAGCCTGCTCTGTTTTATGCTCAAAGGTTTTAAGTAATCCAAATAAAGAACCTTGAGCTTTCTTCCTTTAGCCTCCTGTGGCCAATTGTTTTTTATTTGTGCTGTTTAATGGGTATTGTGCAGAATTTCAACAAAGCATCTGTTGCCAGTGATAACACATATGCACACACTCTGGGGAAAATGTTTTATGATACCTTCAAGTACATTTGAGTAGGTAAATGTTGAGCTTCCAGTAGTGGAAATTCTTTACAACATTTATTTAAAGGGTAGTTTTCCCATATCTAATAAAGATATTCTGTGACCAAGTATATTAAGCAGACATTTCAGTCACATATTGTATCACAGTTTGGTCGCTTGTACCTACCTTGTAAAACTGTCATTGTTCCACTTGCATATGGAATGCTGTACACATGACGAAGGAAGAAACTGAGTAAATTCATTCTCCTGTGGATTAAATTATCTCCACCAAGAACTTCGCTAGACTATGATGATGGCACTATCCTGGTAGGGTAGATTTGAGTCCACTCACTGGGAAGGGAATTACTGGGGCAACTACTTACCCATAAGGATGTGTGGGGATGTTCTTCTCCTTTGCAATTTTAGTCCTCTGCTCAGTTCTTCAGATTTTGCCACTTTTCTGAAGATGGTTTGGAAGTTGAGCTTTAGGCAACCATGTCTGAAGTGTTTATCTGCATGCCGTGTCTGTGTCTATGTTGCCTTCCATATACTTTTGTCAGCATTGCTCAGGATCAAGAGATACATGGTAAACAACAATTAAAAAAAAACAATGGCTTTGGCTAATTCTCTTTCCAGACTGCTAACACATTGCAGCTCCTTGTTTAAGCATACCCAATCTTTTCAGAAAAAGAACTAGGAAAAAAAAATACCAAAAAAAAAAGAAAAAAAATAGAAAAAAAGAATAGGACAATATAGTTTCTGTTCACCTACTTATAGATTTATAGTTTGCATTTTTCTCAACTCTAAATTATGCCTGAATAGAAAGTGTGGATATAGACAAATAGCTTTACTATGCTTCTAAGTATTTCACAGGCATTAAACATAACAGTCCTGTGAAGTAGCTTTTTATTTATTTATTTGTTTGTTTGTTTATATGTTTATTTATTTTAATGCTGGAAGCCAATAGTGAAGAGGTTAAGTAAGTTGTTTAAAACTTAAAGCAGCTTGCTAAGATGACAAATGGATTGTGTCTACTGGGAATACAAACTGTCTTTCAGGCTTTAAAAAGAAGCTTGTTTGAATTGTGTGCATTCTGCTCTTAGAGGTTACACTAGGAACTTGATGAGTTTGGGGGCAGCAGTTGGAAGTAGACATCACTTTCTATGTTGGCAGACTGTGAGCGAATAAAGATTTAGAACTGGGAAAGGGTTTGGAAAAAGGGTTTGCAGAGGTTAATTTATGGTCTCCTGCAGTCCAGCACAGAGCAGAAAATTTCCAAGTCCAGTCATGGTATTCAGCTATGCATTCAGAGTTAATTATTGTGAGGGAGAGAGAAAGTGTGAGATGCCTTCATCTAGACCATATTGTGCTTAAGAGACTGGCCTGACTGGAGCAAGCTGACTGTGGAAGTCTTTGAAATCTGCCGCCTAGTTATGCTTTTAGCAGTCAATTTGTGGCATTACCCTGGTCTGGTAGGTGGTCTGGTAGGTAACGTCCATCTCAGGAAACCTATCACAATTAGTGTATTAGAATTCCTAGTGGAAAGTGTCTGGAATTTTTGGTCTGGAATATGAATTACTTTTTTTTTTTTTTTTTTTTTTTTCTTGGAGCTGACCTTCCAGGGCATTTTTTAGGTAAGTCTGTTTCCCCTTTCTCTCTTTTACTTGGTAGAGGCAAGTCATCAGTGCAATGGAAGTGGCTATTCTTTTCCTGTTTCAAAGCTGTCAGAAGATATCCTTAATTTAAGTTTCACTTTAGCAAAGGAAATACATATTTTTATGGGACTTTTTAAAAACTATTATCTGTCTTGTCTGAGTCATTTGTTGTGCTCTATCTTCTTTATGTCTCTTCTTTAATGCTAGTCAGAGTTTGCCTCCTGAACCTCAGAAAATTAAACAATTGTAAAGATTCATACTGGA